ATATAGTCCTGTCTGGAGTATGTCGCATGTGCAGAGGAATAGAACGTACACTCCCTCTCCCCTGGGTGCTTAATCCCCCATGTATCTATCAATAGACATTGATGTAACATTTAAAGATTTTAAGTATTTTCCTCCCTCTCTCTACGCATGAGACAAAATATCCAGTTGAAGATCCATGCAAAGATTGAAATCCTCAGCCACAATCAGTTTTCCTTTCTTGAAATCATTCAGTTTCCTTAGCATATCCTCTAAATAGAACATTGCATTCTTCTTTGGACAATAAATATTTGCTACACTCCATACCATGTAATTTTCCTTTCAGAAACAAGTACCGACCCTCTGGGTCAACCAACCTATCTTCTATGATAAATCTTAAATTTTTTGCCATCCCAATTGCTACTCCTTTAGCTCATTTTGTTGACGAGTCTGCATAATACCAGATCGGATAATATCTTGATTGTAACTTAACTCTTATATCATGAGATATGTGTGTCTCTTGTAGGAATACAACATCAATTGAGCGCTGCCGAATTTCTCTAGTTATCTTATATCTTTTTACCAGAGTGTTCAGTCCCTTTACATTATAGGTCATAAAATGAATTACGTTCTTGTCCAACATCCTTTTCTGTTAAACCCTTCTTTTCATTTGATTTATGTAGAGGGAGGAATCTAATATGAAATTTGGAGCCATGTGAAAGTTTCAAGGTACCCCTTTCTCCCCATCCCACCATTATTAAACTCATATGGCCCATATCTAGTCCCTGGATCTGTTGTGGTTCTGTCCCCACCCTTGATCCCTCTAATTAGGGTTGGACTCTGTCCATAAACGCCTCCCACCACCTTTTTCTTTCCCTTTTGGAGTTTGGGTTTCTGGGCATGTTAGGCCTCCCTGTCTCCCATCATTAATTAATATTTCTCTCCATACCTCTGCATTACACAAATTACCTTACCCACCTCCCATCTCCTCCACCCCCACATCCCCTCCTTCTAGGATCGTCCACTCTCTCACTTCACTTATAACTCCCTTTCCTTTCAGCTTTAGTACATGAGAGTAGTAGGAGGAGGAGAGGGGAGAAAGGGGAGGAGAGGAAGACACCAAATCAATCTTATAAATAACTTTCTACTCTACCCCAACTATTAGGTAACTTATCCCTAAAGTCTCTCAGGAACAATTTTTTCTCCTTTTCTCTTTATTTCTCTTGTTGTTCCATCTTCTTTTTTCCCCACGTATTTCAACTCTGCTGTAGTCTTTTCCTTGGAATTAGATACCAGCTCTCCTTTTCCAGTCCCATTTCCTCCTTCTACCACTCTGGCCAATTTGGACTATCAGGTACTTGTAAGTCTAGTCTCTCACAAAAATCATGCAGTTCTTCTGGGAACCTCAGCCTAGCTGACCGTCCATCTTTCCATCCAATCAAACATGCAGGGAAACCCCAATTATATTGGATATTTTTGTTTGCATTTGTTCCAGCAATGGTCTCAGAGATCTTCTTCTCGCCAATGTTTCAGGTGCTATATCTGCATATATTTGCAAGTTCGCCTCTTCGTATGTTATTGCAGGGATCCCTTTCATTTTCTCCCATATTCTTGCTTTATCCTCATAATAGTGAAACCACACTATCACGTCTCATAGGGTTCCAGTAGTCACTCCTTGAGGACTCTTTATCTTGTACACTCTTAATTTTCAGTAGTTCTGTTATAGGTCTGTATATTAGTAGATTTAACACTTTACTCATTACATCTGCTCCTTGGGATCCTTCGGGTAACCCCCGAATCTTCAGATACCTCCTTCTATTTCTATTCTCCTGATCTTTCATCCTATATAACAATCTCCTTTGTTCACGTTGCATGTCCTCCATTTGACTTTTAAGCTCTGTTATCATTTGGCCGTGCTTATCCAATTTTCCTTCTGTTTCTTCGACTCGAGACAGCACCTGTCCCAAGTCCTTGTGTATTATTGCCATATCATTCTTTAAAGAATGTTCTAATTTTGTGAATATATCTGCCATTTCTGTTTTTGTGGGCATTTGAGCTCCTGCTCCTTGTTCTCCCATATTCCTTATATCCACCTCACATTCACATTCCCCGCTGTCTCACAGGGGACTGACTCCCTGGACACTTCTCCTGCGGAGGCATATTGTTTTTTTTATTGTACTATTACTTGTCTTAGGTGTTTTTGCCCCTCCTCCTTTTACTGATTTGCTCTTCATATTGTTATTTCTTGCTTGTAGCTTGAAATATATCCTTTTTCCCCACTTTACTTCTACTCTCGGTAGATATAGAATGTGAACAAATGTGGGCCAGCAGGACAACTACTATCCTTAATCTTGAAGATAAACAACTTATATATTATCTCCTACTTTCTCTTTCTTAATTTCCAATCGTCCTTTTCCTTTTAAGCGTTCTTCTTCCAATCCTCCAGCTTTATCCTTTTATTTAATTCTTACTTTGTCCTCTGCTGGGCGACCCCATTTTAACTTCCTCAATGCCTTCTAATCACCTTTTTCACCAGTCACCTGCATCACAGATCATCATACTTATAATGTCCAAATATCATTATCTTTGAGCACTCACCGCTCTCCGCTACCCAGCTGCTCTCTCAGCCTGCTCAGTGTTTGCTGTGACTGTTTGTAGCCATTTCTCCATCGTTTTCTTAGTGGGGGGTACAGGGGGTCCATCCGTGGCTTTGCTTTCCTCTGCTCCTTCTTTGCAACCATTCTTTACCCAGGGGTCTATGCGGCCACCTCACGGCTGTCTCCCAGCTTCCCCTGTCAGCCACTACTCACTGGTCCTCCTCTCCTCTCTACTCCACAGCACAGGACCAATACTGTTCTCCCAGCTGGGCTGAGAAACCCCTGGAGCACTCCTCCAAAGCTGCAGACATGCTGACCGAATCGCGAGGTATGTACGTCCCTCCTACTACATTCTCAGAGGGCACACACCAGAGCTCCTACCACACACTCTCTCTGTCAGCGCCATGTTTAGGCCCCTCCCCCAGCAGGGCAGTTTTTTTAAATAACCATTTTGTTTTAGTTATTTTTCTGCTATATGGTAGCTTTACTATGTACACTTGCAATTACGCATTTACAGTATAAAAAGAATTATGCAAGAAAAAAAAAGGTGTTATCTTTGTTGACTAGAGTAAAATATAACTGGGTAGATAGAGAGGGAAAGGTGGTATATGTGTCTCTCTGTCCATGCAGTCAAATAAAGAATCCACAGGTTGAACGGTATTAAGGTTCTGTTTGGTCATTTATATTCTGTTTACCCCATAAGGATGTTACTGAGTATTTTATAAGTTTGCCCGGCAGCACAGATTTTAAGAAGTTCCCTTATCACTATTCTGAAAATTGTATTGATGGCACTCTTGGGAAAGCATGATAATCCAATAATCCCATAGAAGATTACTTTAGTGGCCATTTAATGGCCTAACATAGACTTAGCCTAGAATAGAATGGAAAGCTGCATAACAAGGGTTGATGATGCTTTCATAAAACATATTTGTCTGTAATAAATGTTTCTTATACATAAAATAATGTTTTTTTAAGGGTCACAGTGGAGCAGTATTACTGTACCAAAAGTGCCTTTTGTAATAAACATTTGGAACTCCATGAGTATATAATCAAATTACCGTTATATAGAACCACAATTTGGGGAAAATAAGTCTATATGTCATCTTCTTAATCATCTTAAAATTAAACACAAACCACATACCTGCAGAATATAAACTAAGCACATGATGGAAAAGATGCCTGAGCAGAGGTCATCACTCGTCAAGGTGATCATTAAGGCCAGGCTTGATTTTTACAGGAAAAGACAAGAATTGCAGCTGCGTCCATCTCTGGATCCTCTGACTGCTCTGACAAGTGGTTTTCACTGAAGGTATCATCTCCTTATGCTTTATATTCATTGTATGCTCTGTTTAAATTGCCCAGGTTTGTGACAAGTTTACATTTAAACATGCCACGTGCCTCCACTTAGACATTACAGGAGAAATGATAATTGCAATGTCTAACACTAAGTACCAACTATTACATTACACCTGGGATACATTAACTCTTTCATCATCTTTATTAGACTGAAGCCATTAAGTGCATTTTGCACATTAGAAGGACTGTTATTTCATTTCATTTTGTACTGATGTGTGTTTAAACATGTATTATTAAAATTGTCGTCATGCACTGTTCCACATTATACAGCTGGAACCTTTACAAACTTAGCAGACAATAAAGAGCTATTAAATCAGAGCATTATCACTGTATATGCCAGGACAGATATCATAGCAACAGCAGAAATTTAGTATAATTTAAACCTTATGCATATTCTAGTTTAGTTTAGCGGTGGATAGACTTCATTTAAATATTTTTTGTAAAGTCTCATGCAGTTGCCATAGAAAGCCTAAGGAAGTCTAAGCAGTACATTCAAAGCAAGTGTTTTGCCTTGTAAATATTTACTGTACTATAGCTTTCTTAGGTAGTATAACAGGCTGCTCTGGACAGTCACACTGCTTGATCAAAGTTTAATGTGCATGCTTCAAGAGGGTTTAAATTTAGCTAAAGAACACATCTGATCATTTCAGAAGAAGAAAGACTGGATTTGTATGAGCAATCTGTTGTTCTTTGTGCACAGCAAGGTAATGCTATCATCAAAAGGTACCCAAGGGGGCAGGTACTTAGGTCCTGATGAGGGTACAGTGGATAATGCTATCATATTGTCCTTCCTGCAGCAAATCACTATCACATCAACTTTGAAGAAAAGATGACAGCCATTAACGGTATAGATGTGGTTACAGATTTCTTGTGGTAAAAGAAACCATGCATGTGTTTTCTATGTCCTTTACTACAGTGCAGCAGTTATACAAACTTAACTGAAATATATATTGTGTATGTGTGTGTATATAATATATATATATATATATATATATATATATATATATACATACATACATACATACACACACACACACACACACACACTATATTGCCAAAGGTATTGGGGCACCTCTCCAAAACATTGAATTAGAGTGTTTCAATCACCTCCATGGCAACAGGTGTATTAAATTAAGCACCTAGGCATGCAGACTGCTTCTTTGTGAAAGAATGGGTTGCTCTCAGGAGCTCAGTGAATTCAAGAGTGGTACTGTGATAGGTTGCCACCTGTGCAATAAGGCCATTCATGAAATTTCCTTACTACTAAATATTCCATGCTCAATTGTTATTGGTATTATAACAAAGTGGAAGCAACTGGGAACAACAAAAACTCAGCCATGAAGTGGGAGGCCACGTAAAATGATGTGGGGTCAGTGTATGCTGAAGTGCATAGTGCTCAGAAGTCACCTATTGTCTACAAAGTCAATAGCCAAAGACCTTTAAACTTTGTGTGTCCTTTAGATTAGCACAACAGCAGTGTGTAGAGAGCTTCATGGAATGGGTTTCAATGGCCAAGCAGCTGCATCCAAGCCTTACATCACTAAGTGCAATGCAAAGAGTCGGATGCAGTGGTGTAAAGCAAGCTCCCTCTGGACTCTAGAGCAGTGGAGGTGTGTTCTTTGGAGTGACAAATCACACTTCTCTGTCTGGAAATCAGATGGACGTGTCTGCGTTTGGCATTTGCCAGGAGAATGGTACTTGTCTGACTGCATTGTGCCAAGTGAAAAGTTTGGTGGAGGGGGCATTATGTTGTGGGGTTGTTTTTCAGGGGTTGGACTTGACCCCTTACAGTGAAGGGAACTCTTAAGGCATCAGCATACCAAAACATTTTGGACAATTTCATGCTTCCAACTTTGTGGGAACAGTTTGGGGATAGCCCCTTCCTGTTCCAACATGATTGCACAACAGTGCGCAAAGCAAGGTCCATAAAAACATGGATAAGCGAGTTTGGGGTGCAGGAACTTGATTGGCCTGCACAGAGTCCTGATCTCAACCTGATAGAACACCTTTGGGATGAATTAAAGCAGAGACTGCGAGCCAGGTCTTCTCGTTCGACATCAGTGCCTGACCTCACAAATGTGCTTCTAGAAGAATGTTCAAACATTCCCATAGACACAATCCTAAACTTTGTGGACAGCCCTCCCAGAAGAGTTGAAGCTGTTATAGCTGCAAAGGGTGGGCCAACTCAATGTTGAACCCTACAGACTAAGACTGGGATACCATTAAAGTTCATTTGCGTGAAAAGGCAGGCGTCCCCAATACTTTTGGCAATATAGTGTATATAACCTGGATGGATTTGTATTCTGCTTTTTGAAAGCATTTACAGTGTACACTTTCTAGGTGTGTATAGGGAAGTACATAATTTCAAAACGTACAATATGTATAAAAAAGTGAAGAACGGAAGTGTCAGAGTGTTGCCACAGTTGCCCAGCAACCACTCCAAATTTAAAATTTTCTATCAAGAAAATGAAAGAATGGCTCTGCTTGGTTGCAAAGTAAGACTGGCTTATAGAAAATGATTTATGACAGCTGGATAAAAATTAAAAATAAGACTGATACCCATAGTGACTAATCAGGTTACATAGTAAAGTATAAAGTCTAATCAGCTACTATGGTTTATTCTTTTTGGTAACTTGGTGGAGTGCATGGAGTAAAAAGATCATACAATACAAAATCATTAAATATACTGTAAGTAATAATGTAGTAAACTCAGCTTACTTGGTAACATAAATATGTTAACTATAATAAAAAAAAGAGTCACTTTAATAAAAAATAATGTGGTTAGATGAAGTTAAAATCTGCAGACATTGGACGGGGAGGAGAATTAATTTCAAACATCCAGTAAGGAGAAGATTAATTTAAAGCCCGTTGATGATAAAGCTCACCCATTCAGCAGAGAAAAAAAACTTTTGTGGAGCCATTTTACACTTATCCAAGTTCTCCATTCATGCCTTTTGACAGCCTTGCTTCCAACAACTGGTTAATCCAGTCTGCAACCTGTGCCCATTGACCAGAAACTTCTTAGTAACACCAAAATGCCGCCGCAGTCTTCTGTATGCTGGAAATACCCCATCATTGGACAACCAAAAGCAAGTATCTACATCACTAATGCAGTGACATGGACATCCAAAGAATCTCTTACTCTGCAGGGAAGAATATACTGTAAGACTTGGGATCCGACATGCCACATGACCATTGTTTTAGGTTAAGTATTCTTGCATTTTACGCTATGTCCAGAGTTTAGCTTGGGAGATTGAAGTGAACATTGAAGTTTTATTAGATTTTATGTGTTAATTCCATTATTAGTGAAAGTGAGGTTAACTATCTGCTTGAGATGTGAGGTTATAACTTGCGATTCTACAAATATTGGATGCTTGTAAGCATAGCCGGGATCTTTTCTTATAAAATTACAATGAGATTCTTTACAGCACATCTCTGTCTTTGGTTTCTGTAGCGGTAAATTGGGTAAGAAAAAAAAAGCCTGTGGTCCTCTTTGATGCTTTTGATCAAAGATAGACAAATATATTCAAAATTCAGAATGGGTTATGAATGGGCAAATTTTAGAAGTCAAAGAACACATTCTCCCATTAATGAAGAGGCGTGTGAAACTTTAGCAACCACCTATTAATTCAGACGCTGTGATGACTACCAGTCTCATAAAATGTGTTCATCAATTCAATAGAAAGAATCTTCACTTTTTATACTGTACATTTTACTTTAGTTTCAATTTGAGGGTCTGTCTGACTGGACTCGTTTAGCAGAAGTTTCTATTGTATAGTCCTGATGGCACCATTCCCTCCCTGGCATTCAACAGTAAAATTCAATAGCATCGAGGGAGAGACCTACCCTTGACTTGGATAGAAGTCATGTTCCTGTTGTAGTCTGCTCCTCTCAGGAAAAATGAATCTGATTTGTAGATGCATGCAGGTACAGTACTTTAGTTATAATTTCATCTGAACATGGCAAGTCCACTTTAAGACTGAGGAAAGTGTCCCAAAGCAAAGATATAGAAAAGAGTAAAGGCTGCTATGTCAAAGCCAGCAGGTCTTGCAGTCCTTGTTTATGTAAGCACATTAACAAAAGATGCAAATTCTGCACTATGTTCCTGTGTGCTTTGGACCATTGTATATAATTCACTTCTACTGCAATGAGGATCACAAGAACTGCTCGAAAGTGCACCAATAACTAATGTTACCTTTCAAGTGTACATAGCCTGATCCTAAATGGTGCACATTGTACAGATGTTGATTCATAAGTCCTATTTCATATAGAAAAAAATTAGCTATGATTAGAATATTAACAAAATATGCAAGGAAGGAAATGATAAGGTTATTTTTGATTCCTAAAATTGTGTAATGTATGAGGTAATCTAAATTAAAGTGACCTCCAAAATTACCCCCATTAATGTTGGGATGTCTAATTGTGAATAAGTAACCTTCTTTTTGGCTTGGGTAAAGTAGTCTTGTGCTCAGGGCTCTTGGTTTAAGATCATAACAATGAATTAAACCAATGGCTACGCTTCTCATAATTGGAATTTGAATGAACAATAAAAATATATAACAGGGTAACCTTTAACAATGGCAATTTGCAACCATGACTTTGGCACACTAGCTATATTTTCTTCACTTGGTTAACTGCATTTTCATGGTATCAAAGAGGAACTTGTGGCAATATATATATATATAGGCTCAGAGGCATCTGCCTCAGAGAGACGGAAAATACTTTTGTTTGATGAGGTGTAGCACCAGGTAAGAGATCAATGGGACAGTCATAACTGTGATGAAGTTGTACAGTGTCACTCGACCCTTTAGAAGATAAATCCAGGAAGTTCTTATAACAAGGTGGCATCCATTCCTCTTGGCAGGCAGCTATCTGGATAGAACACTGTATGCAGGTTTCTACACACGGACCATGTCAAGGTGATCCTGAAGCCAAGTAAGGCCTAGAACCAAAAGGTGTAGATGGAGAATTAATGACAAAAAAATAAATCTTTTCTCAGTGTGAAGGACCAAATTGTAGCTGGAAAGGGTTAATGGCCTCTAGCACTTGTTTTTTTGAAAAAGGCTGATTATCCACAGAAATCAGGCAGACAGGAGAGTCCAAAGCATGAGTTTTCAAAAACAAATGGCTGACAAAGAGTTTAATCAATAAAATTGCTGGTGGCTCTGGAATCCACAAAAGGCCAGTAGCTCATGAGATTCAGACCCATAGTGGTTATCAGCAGGGATCTTAATGACCATGTTTTTGTGAAGTTGAAAGCAGACCTAGGGTGACCTTTTAACAATTACCCAGAGCCCTGGAGTTAACCAGACATGTGGGACATTAGCAAAGAATATGACCCTTGAGGCCACGATCAAAAGTCACAAGTCACGATGGCATGTGCATTCCTGAGTGGATAAACGAGTGGAACCTAGCCGTATAGGTTCCTCCTCAGACATGACACTGTAGGGGGAGGAACTGAGTGTCAAGGAAGGCACAGATTTTGTTTCAGCTGTGCCAAGTTTCAGTCTCCTCTCCCACTGAAGGCAGTCAATTCTGATGGCCAATTTCATGGCATTCTCCTGAAGCTGGGTAGGGGTGGTTAACCAAAGCATCTTTAATCGTCCTTGATAGGACAATTCTGAATTGGCTACAGAGCGCTGCATCTTTCATCCATATTCCAGGGCCCACCTGAAAAACGCTGAACAATATTTTTCAGAATAGTCGGTCCCTTGCTGTAAGCTACACAAGGCCGTTTCAGCAGCAACATGAGCACAATCTGGGTTATCATATAGCAAGCCCACAGCTTCAAAGAAGTCACTTTCTGTTAGCAGGGCCAGATGGTTTGGTTCCAGACTAAATGCCCAAGGCCTTGGGGGGGGGGGGGGTCACAGTAAAGAAATTGTGAGTTGCATTCTCTGTGTTTCAGAGCAGTATGAGGATTGCTCTAACTTGAAATATCATTGGCAGCTGTTTTTAAAGTTACAGAACCCTCTACAGTCACCATAAAAAAACAATCAGGCAAAGGAATCTTTGATTTAGGTGGCAAAGTATTGGCAGTTGTAGTAAGAGAGGGAGAATGTAGTAAGCTGGGTTGCCAGTTCCTGAACTTGCAGGTGTAAACAGCCAAGTTCTTGAACAAGCATCTGATCTTGTGCAGCATTCCTTAGTTTGCCTTCCCCTTTAATTTTATGGCTCATAATAATGTCAAGTCAGATGTATAGAATACAGAAAAACAGTTCAGAAGTGCTACATATGCAGACAGTTCAATAACAGATAGCACATACCATGAGCAGGACTGTAGGTAAAGCAGGCTGGTTGGTACTTGCGGTGCACCACTACAGATGTCAGCAGGGCA